GGAACACCTGAATGCCTCAGTTTTCCCCTTTGGAAAGAGATGGAATTCACTTCTGGACACTAAAAGGGATTGTTTTAAGACCCAGCTGCTTCCTAGAATGACTGCCATCTAGTCAGCCCTGGCTGTGCACCAAGCTCTCCATGTTGCTGCTCCCTGCAGTGCTCATCTGCAATATGGAGCCAAAACCTAGGAAGGCCGGGTGCGGTGGCTACGCCTGTAATCCCAGCACTTTGGGAGGCTGAGGCGGGAGGACTGCTTGAGGCTAGGAGTTTGAGACCAACCTGGGCAATGTAGCAAGATTCCATCTCTACAAAAAATTTTACGAAATTAGCCGGGCATGGTGGTGCACCCCTATAGTCCCAGCTACTCTGGAGGCTCAGGGAGGAGAATCACTTGAGCCTGGGAAGTCAGGGCTGCAGTGAGCCAAGATCGTGCCACTACACTCCAGCCTAGGCCACTGGGCAAGATCCTTTTTTTCTTTCTTTTTTTTTTTTTTGAGATGGAGTCTTGCTCTGTTGCCTAGGCTCAAGTGCAGTGGCACAATCTTGGCTCCCTGCAACCTCCACCTCCCAGGTTCAAGCAATTCTCCCTGCCTCAGCCTCCCGAGTAGCTGGGATTACTGGTGCCCACCACCACGCCCAGCTAACTTTTGTATTTTTAGTATTTGTAGTAGAGACGGGGTTTCACCATGTTGGCCATGCTGGTCTTGAACTCCTGACCTCAGGTGATCCACCTGCCTTGGCCTCCCAAAGTGCTGGGATTACAGTTGTGAGCCACTGTGCCCAGCCAACTTTAAAAACAAAAATTAAATTAAAAAATAAATAAAACATAGGAAGATTCAAATGACTGAACACGGGTCAAGGCCCTTGCACGTGGCCACCGCTGAGAGCCTGTGAGCTGTGGGAGCCAGTGCCCTAACACTTCCTGTCATCACAGTAGTTATTGAAAGCACCAAGGGCCAGGTGTGGCGCGGTGGCTCACACCTGTAATCCCAGCACTTTGGGAGGTCGAGGCAGGCAGATCACTTGAGCTCAAGAGTTCGCGACCAGTCTGGCCAACATGGTGAAACCCTGTCTCTACTAAAAATACAAAAATTAGCCAGATGTGCTTGCATGCCCCTGTAGTCCCAACCGCTTGGGAGGCTGAGTTACGAGAATCGCTTGAACCTGGGAAGCAGAAGCTGCAGTGAGCTGAGTTCACACCACTGCACTCCAGCCTGGGTGACAGAGTGAGACTCCGTCTCAAAAAATATAAATAAAATAAAAGCAAGCCAGCACTGAGCATGAATCCTGGCACACAGTAAATGCTCAGTTAATACACCCTCTTTTTTCCCAGCCTCTTTGGAATTCAATGAACCTGGCTCTCATCCTGACTCCGGGACCCCAGATACATCACTTTCCCTTCCCCAGCCTCGGTTTGCCCGTCTGGAAAATGGGGTCACCATGGGAGGTATGAGGCTGAAGTCAAGCCCTTGGTGGGTACAGCACAGAGAATATGGACAAGCTTGCGGCCAGCGTTCTCTGGGTTCAGGGCATCTTCACCTTGGCGGAGGTGGCAGAGCCCTCTTGCGCCCTGGCAGGTTGGCGGGACAGGCTACCCCTTGGATTGTGACACCCCCTCCTCTCACCTATGACCTCATCCCCAGAGCAGCCAGTGGGAACCCTGAGGGATCTGTGAGATCACTCATTCCATTCACAGACTCGTGTCAGAGAGCAGCCACCAGCTCACCTCCATCCCCAGGACTTAGAGGGACACAGGGCATTGGGAACAGAGGACACTCCAGGCGCTGACCCTGGGAGGCCAGGACCAGGGCCAAAGTCCCGCGGGCAGGAGGAGTCCTCGGAGGTCCTTCATTCAGCAGTTCCGGGAGGTCTAGGAAGCCCACGGCCTGGCTGGGGCAGCGTCAACGCCGCCAGGCCGCCATGGTCCTGTGCTGGCTGCTGCTTCTGGTGATGGCTCTGCCCCCAGGCACGACGGGCGTCAAGGACTGCATCTTCTGTGAGCTCACCGACTCCACGCAGTGTCCCGGCACCTCCATGCGCTGTGGTGATGACGAGGACTGCTTCACAGGCCGGGGGATCGCCCCAGGCACCGGTCCGGTCATCAACAAAGGCTGCCTGCGAGCCACCAGCTGCGGCCGGGAGGAACCCGTCAGCTACAGGGGCGTCACCTACAGCCTCACCACCACCTGCTGCAGCGGCCGCCTGTGTAACAGAGCTCTGGGCTCCTCGAGCAGCCAGACGGTGGGGGCCACCACCAGCCTGGCACTGGGGCTGGGTATGCTGCTCCCTTCACGTTTACTGTGACCAACAGGGAGGACGAGGCCTGGGACTGTTCTCCCAGATCTGCCACTCCTCACGTCCCCGTCTCCTTCTCCCACTAAATGGCCAGAGAGGCCCTGGACAACCTCTTGCGGCCCTGGCTTCATCCCTTCTAAGGCTGTCCACCAGGAGCCCGGTGCTCAGGGAAGCACCCCCAGGCCTGATTGAGCAGCAGGGGAGCACGGCCTGTGGGTTTGATTGTACTACTGTATTCCACCGGTTCTAAGATGCAGAGCTTCTCACGTTTTAATCACGATGCTTCTCTCCATTGGTGGCACCTTAGAGTCCATGAAATA